ATGGGACCAAGTCTAATCCGAATTCGTGGCCTCTGTGCTCTCTCTTTCTCCCTCTCCCAACCGCCCGCGTCTATTTCTCGCTTACCTTCTGTTCTGGTACCACGTTTTCACTTGGGTGTCGGTAAGGTTGAGCGAAGCGGCCAGCTCCATCCTGTCCTGGACGCTGAGATATTTCTGTCTCTCGAAGCTGCGCTCCAGCTGCGCCAGCTGGTGATCGGTGAACGCGGTGCGCGCCTTGCGCGGTTTCTTCAGCCGCACCGGAGGACTTTCTCGGGAGCTGGAGATCTCCCGGTCGCCTTCTTCCTTCACTGGGGCCGGGAGAGAAAGGGAGAAAATGGGTCCCGGGCGCTTTGGGATGGAAAGGAGTCGCCTTTGGGGATGCGGAAGGAAGGGAAGGGAATGAACAGAAAAGGAAGGAAGGAAGGAAAGGGAGAGGAAAGAGAGAAAGGAATGAAAGGAAAAGAGAGGAGGGAAAGGAAAGGAAAAAGGGTGGGAAGGAAAGGGAAAGAGAGAGGAAAAGGGAAGCGAAAAGAAAGGAAAGGAAAGGGATAGGAAGGGGAAGGGAAGGGAATGAACAGAAAAGGAAGGAAGGAAGGAAAGGGAGAGGAAAGAGAGAAAGGAATGAAAGGAAAAGAGAGGAGGGAAAGGAAAGGAAAAAGGGTGGGAAGGAAAGGGAAAGAGAGAGGAAAAGGGAAGCGAAAAGAAAGGAAAGGAAAGGGATAGGAAGGGGAAGGGAAGGAAAAGGAAAGAGAGGGGGATGAAACGAAAGGGGAAATAGAAAGGGAAAGAAAAAGAAAAGAGTGAGAAAAGGCAAGGGAAATGAAGCTGGTAAATAGATAAAGGGGAAAAAAGAGAAGGGTGAAGAAAGAAAGAGGAAGGGAAAGGAAATGAGAGGATAAAAGAAAGAAAAATTGAAAGAGAAGATAGAAGAGGAATTCAGAATGGTAAGGAAGGGTAGGAGAAAAAGAAGGTGTGGAAAAAGACGAGAAAGCTCACACGTTTAAAAGAACGAAGGGAAAAACGGAAGGAAGGAAGGAAAATATTTTTCACAGGAACAAGTTTAGGGGTGTCTATCAGCCTCTGTGAATTTACCATGCATATTTCTCCATGCCCCCCCAAAAAAACCCACTGCTGTTTACACAGGAGTAACTTCCCTTTCATGGAACTCTCTCTCTCTCTCTCCTACAAAATTTGTGCACATAAAACCATTTGCTTCTCCTCCCCCCCCCAACCCCCCCTCAAAACTTAGGTTTCTCCAGAAGTATGCCCACAGGAAGATGGACATTGTAGTCCAATAGAACTAAAACACCCGCGGAGTGGGGGGGGCGGTGAGAAAAAGCTAAGCTCTGCCCATTTCACATATATAATCAAAAGGAGCTTCTCTGTTATCACTGTAAAGGGACACCCCCACCTCAAACATAAACACAAAAGAATCCCCCCAACAACCCAGACACACAACGCACAACACTGCCTCGTGCCACGTTTTACACACAGTGGCAAGAGCCCAAACATATTCCTTTCCTTTCATTTGCAACCTTTGTCATTAAATAATAATCAAACGATCAATTATTAAACAATTAATAGATGTAATCAGCCCAGCCAGACCACGAATCTTTCCCTCAATAGCTTCCTGCGCCAGGTCCTCTGGGGCTGCTCAAAGCTTATTCCACGTTCTTAATGTAAAATTGGCATAAATAATAGACCTTATTTTGGATAAACCAGCAAGGCGGTGGTGGTGGAGAAGCACGTTATTTTGAAGGAGAGAAGGGCTTTTATTTTTTTTTAAAGTTGATTTTACCATGGGCGAACTGAAAATCCACATATACATTTGACCCTTTATAATAATATAATGTGTGTGTTTGTGTGTGTGTGTGTTTATTTCGGGAGAGGAAAATTATATTTAAAAGACTCCTCGGTTCTCCTTTGTTGGTTTAATCCTCTATGCGCCAGCAGCTGAAATCACAATTCTGTCTCTAATAAGTTTCAACGGTAAAATCCGTGGGATTTACTAATGAGTGAACATAAAGAATCAAACTTTCTTCACATTTGAAGAAGTTGTAAGGAGGCCATTTATCAGGTTGGCTCTAGCTGTAGTAACTAACAGAGATAAAGAATCAAGATCAGGAAGTGTTGGTGTCCCTTTATAATGCCTTGGTAATCCAAATATCCAAATATCAATCAATCAATCAATCAATCAATCAATCAATCAATCAACCAGAACAGAGTTGGAAGGGACCTTGGAGGTCTTCCAGTCCAATCCCCTGCCCAAGCAGGAGACCTATAGAATTTGAGACACGTGAGTGTCCAGTCTCTTCTTAAAACCTCCAGTGATGGAGTGCCTATGATTTCTGGAGGCAAGTTGTTCCACTGGTGAATTGTTCTCTCTGCCAGGAAATTCCTCCTTAGTTCTAGGTTGCTTCTCTCCTTGATTAATTTCCATCTCGTTGCTTCTTGTCCTCTTTCTGGTGCTTTGGAAAATTAAGTTGACCCCTCCCCCTTCCTCTTTGTGGCAGTCCCTCAAATATTGGAATATTGCTACCACCATGCCAAATTTGGTCACCACAGTACGAAAAAAGTTGTGGAGACTCTAGAAAGTGTGCAAAGAAGAGCAACGAAGAGGATTAGGGGACCGGGGGCTCAAACATACGAAGAAGAACAGTTGCAGGAATTGGGGATGTCTAGTTTAATGAAAAGAAGGACTAGGGGTGATATGATGTCAGTCTTCCAATATCTCAGGGGTTGCCACAAAGAAGAGGGAGTCAACATCTTTGCACTCTGCATTATCCTGAATGCAGGTAGTTTCTTGTGATTATTTCTTCTTCTTCTTCTTCTTCTTCTTCTTCTTCTTCTTCTTCTTCTTCTTCTTCTTCTTCTTCTTCTTCTTCTTCTTCT